TGGCAAGATGAGGGGACAGAGAGTATCATAAGTCACGTCAATAGTAACAATGAAGCTTTTATCTGACAGCCATCTGATGGGCTGTGTGACTTGTGTGGCAGTCACACAACACCATTTCCTAGTGTTCAGGCAGGCAAGTATTAAACAGGAAAGCCTGAATGCACACCTGGAGTGAGCGTTGGTGTCAGAGGCAGAACTCCATGTTAGAGCAAATTACTAACACATGCAGGGCTCTTTCCAGTTCTGCTCTGTCCTACTGCGAGAAGAGGAATAAGTCATTTCTGTGTCCTACATCTCAGTCCCTCCCTAAACAGAGAGAACATCACCTCCTCATCTCACCAGGTGTCCACTCTGGAGCCAGGAGCGTCAGGCTGTGGGGAGGGAGGTTCTGTGAGGCACTGCCCACACTGCACTTCTTCTCCTGGGAGCACAAGAGCTTGGTGTCAGTGTCTGTCAGTCTGATATTTTTCACCACTAAGTGGGAACTTCTTCTCTATCCTGTATTTTGTTTTTTTTCACTGTTGCCCAGTGTCCTCAGCAGCTGGAGACAAAACAACTACTGAGCTATTAAAAGGCAAAATATCTTGTCAGGACACTTTAATTACAATTTTCTTGGCTGTGTCACATTCACAGGAGAGTGTAACCATTCATTGTCAAAGACTACCCATTGAGGAGAAAAATACATTATTTTATTGCTGATTTTATCTCCCTGTGACCTGTATGGAGTTGATTCTTTACACAGGGCAGGGGAGAGATGCAGCCACTCAGACTCAGGGCATCGAATCCTGCTGTAATGTTTGATTGGAACTGTGTCTCAGCTGGAACTGAAGATGAGCTATCCAGTTATGCTTGTAAATACCGAAGACTGATCAGTATGTCTAGGAGCAAAAATAGCACTATCCCAGCCCTCAGTGTTATCAAGGTGAGATGGAAGGTCAGTTTGGATGAGCTGTCAGGAGCAGCGTTCAGTGACACAGCAACAAGACAGAGATCTTGGTATAAATCTAAGAAAACAGCTTCTGATTTTGTTACAATGTGTGAATCCAGACTATTCAGTGGAGTTAGTGGGACTCAATCTGCCTGTGACAAGGTCTCAAACGTTGTCATTAATCAACGTCTCCAAATACCTCTTATCCCATTTCTCTGTTCTTGCATCCCTTCCAGCCTCTGGTTCCAAGAGTTTCTGTTTTTCTGGTTCCGCCAGTTTCAGTATGGGAATAGCCAGTGAAATACTGGTGTCATTTCTCAGAAAAAAAGAGGAAAAAAGAGACTGGAATATACTGAATTTCTTCCATTACAGGAAGAATCAGGCAATGCAGTAATATAGCAAGCATAGTTCTTTTGGGCATCATTGAAACTCTCAATAATACATTCAATTTAGAACCATTAGGGTGCCATTACATGCTAAATACTTTCTGATACCTAAAAGCAGGGAGTATTGTGCATTAAGACTTAACAGTCATCTTCTGCAATAGGTAATTATCTTCCTAGTATTTTGATTTTTACTCTCAAATCATTTCCCATAATGACATTTCTTTTACTGTCCCAAGAATAACTGCCTGATAAATTTAGAAAGAATGATACATCTTGGGCATACGTATTGCTAACCACTGATGTAGAGTGATAAACTGTCAGAAGAAAACTTAAGCTATGCTGATCTTTAACTGTCATCCTATGTAACATTTATCTACTGCATGGCTATCCAGGCACTGTGCATACCTTGAGCTAGAAGGCAGCTTTAGCCACTGGTCCATGCAGAGACATAAAAAGTCTCCATGGACCCTTGCATGAGCTGCCCAGACTTTGGGTCTGCATCCACTGACTTAGTTGGTACAAAGGGTGGTGGAGTTCTGTGCCCATCTAAATAGCAAGATAGGAGTGGGGAAGTGTTGCCTGAGTCACAACAGCTGCTGCAGTGATTTTACAATAATTTTTTATTTCTTTTGCATTGTCTAACCCATTGTTAACAACCCGCTGAGATTTGACATCAAATAATTGTCTTCATAGATAAATATACTTCCAGAAATCCTTCTTTCACTTGTTTAAATTAGAGCACCCATTTCCTAGTATATGTATTGCTAAAAATAAGCCATCTAGGAGTAAATGAGAACGACTCAGAAATCAAAGGAGCTTTTAGATTGCTGCTTTCTCAGAGAGCAAGCAGAGTCAACTGATAGACTCAGAACCACGGGGAGGAGGACACGTTTGTATGGGTGGCACACCGTTGCCTGTCAGGTCACGTTCCAGGCAGCGCTGCGGAAGCTGTTCCCATCACGTACAATTATTAGGGTGTGAATCACAACTGCACGGCAATTTTTTATTAGATTTGCCTTTGTGCATGTCCTCTCCCTGTGGAAGCCATCAGTGCACAATTCTGTGACAGAACGTCACCGTAGATATGTTGGAGAAGAGCAAATGTAATGGTGGTGGTGCAGAAGATATCATTTCAGCACAAAGAAAATTACACATCTTCATTCTGGCTGACAGCCTAAACAATGCCATGCTTGAAACATAAATGATACACTGTTTAGCTGGAAAAGCTATTAGGCATATGATGGAGAGTGGAAGTGAGCTAACTGCCTTCCCAGAACAAATAGAGCTTCGCATTTTACATAGGCAAGTTGACAGGTTTTAAAAATTTTACTTCCAGATTTTGCCTTTTGAACAGAAGAAAAAACTCAACAGCAAGAACGGAGAAGTGCCATGGCTCCAGGCCGTGCAGCTTGCTCCTGTCCCACTGCTACACCTCCAAAGCAGGGAGCACACTGAAGGGTCTGCCCAAGAAGTGGCATTTCCAGCCAGTTCTTGGCAGCCTAAGAATTCTTAACTTTTCCAACACTGTTCTCACTGCTTGTCTGGCTTTTGTCCAAATCTTTGTGACTCCTAATCATGTAATAATGTTTTGAGGGCATTTACTAAAACCTTTAGAAAATCAAGGTGCATTTCATCTTTTAGCAGGAATGGAATAAAACAATTATGGTATGTAGGAGACAATGCCAGTCTCATGTTGTTCTAGTATTGATCCTCTTTTGCTGCCTTTTTTTTTTTATATTAGAGCAATAGAAAATAGAATTGGGAGGACTTCCAACAGGTCTTCCAGTCCATCCTTTGCCCTAAGGCAAAATCAACTTATACCAATTCTGGCAGATTGTTGTCTTATCACTAGGAGTGTTTTTTAAGACCTGCAGTGATGGCAATTCTGTGTGCTCTCTAGACCACTTATTCCTTAAAATTAGAAACTCTTACCTAACGTCTAGTCTAAAATTAAGCCTATTAACTTATATCCTATAAAGTGTATGCAGAAAGAATTACTGCATGAAGGAGAACAGCAAAGGTCAAAGCGAGGTGGTAGAGAAGGAAACAGGGTCAGGTTGTCCATGTACCTAGACCTAACTGATATAGCAGAGACAAACTGGTGTAAAAAGAGACTCAGGGGAGTACTAAAGCTCCAGTTCCTCAGACAATGTCTGCAGCTTCCTTCTTCACCCTCACAGGACCCCCAGGGTGTGCAGCAGCCAGGTTAGGGGTGCAGGGGGAGGCAGGCACAGCTTTAGCACGCAGCACCAAGGCACAGTGTGTCCTGCTGCTCACTGCTAAGCAGGGAAACCTCCTATTCAGCAGCAGATTCTGGAGCACAGAGTTTACGAATGAAAATAAAGAATACAAGCAGACGACAATAGTTCAAGTGTCCAATATACTGAACTGTATTTTATATTTAATATGTTTCTCATTGAAAGAAATTTCAAGTTACAAATAAGTGGGTATGAGGTGAAACTTGTTTGCCTGTTTTTAACGCCAGCATTTCTCCCAGAGAGCCGAGGAACCGAAGGTGATCTGTAGGCTGGTTGTAGCTAGTGTACACTGAAATAATCATCTTTTTCCACTAAGTGCTGTGTGGGAGTTAGTCACAGAATGAAAGAACCTTTTTTATTTGCTATCATACATACCAGCTCTAAGACATCTTTCCATTTTATTTTTTCACTTCTCTGTTATCAGTCCAGGTTAGCATTTGGTATATTACGATCATCAAAAAATCTTTACTTGAGTGATACAGATAAAGGCATTCAAAACCAAAACTAGGATTTGCTTGAGCAGGCAAGTCACTGATACAAATACATTTGCTCAAAGAAAGCCCCTTTTTAGTAGGAGAGGAAAGTTAAATCTCTCTCGTGATGTTATGAAATGGAATTTCTCTCCTGCTGTATTCACAGCAAAGTTTTACTAAAGGGCAGACTTCTTAATCACCACGTAAAAAGATGTTAGGATTTTATCTGCTATTGTTTTCGGTTGTTTTTTTTTTTCCAGAGAAGTAATCTGAAACCTATATCATACACACAGATACCCATTAGAGGTAGAAATTTCATGTTTTCTTGTTTCCACATTCCATTTGAAGGTACTGGGCAATATTTTCAAACATTTAGACACTCATCTGCATCTCTTTAGAGATCTAAATCCAAGTCAGCAGCATCAGCACATCTGAAAATAAAAGCATATAACTGCAAGGATTATCTTGGAAAGCTGAGTCTAGTTCAGTAAGCTGATCAAATTTCATCTCAGAAAAAGAAAGATAATGATTGAGGAACCTAGACATCCATGCCTGACACAGTCAGACAACAGGCTCAAATATATGACTTGAAACTTAGTATTATTAGGTTCTGAGGATAATTATCAGATGAAGAAGGGAGCACAGGGATGGCAGAGGGTGTAACAAGGAAAAAAGGAGGACAAACAATGAGAAGGGCTAATGATGAGGAACAGAATGTTTCTGCTCTCTGTTTAACATGAGGGCTATTCTTGGAAACAGAGGGGGACCATTCCTTACATGATCAGTACTGCCATTTCACTGGAGCCTAAAAACTTGAATCATGTGATGTTTTAGCTCTATAATTGTGTTCAGAGTGATAATTGTATGTTAGAAATAAATATTTAGCTCAATGTTTATTTCTACATGCCACAAAAGAGAACCATCATTACATAATCAGAAGAGAACAAACGCAGTATCAATGAAAACGCCTTGCTTTCCGTGGGTAGCGCAGCCCTGTATCCACGGGTGGTATTCTTTGTGAACAAGGATGTTTGGTCTCACCATCTTCTGGAGGTACAGCACTGGGATTGTAATAAACTTCAGCTAAGGAAAAGAATTAGGGAAAATTTTCCATTATAAGAATTTGGTTTAACATATTTAAGAAAGAAATCTGTCTATGCAGAGCTCGCTGATTTAACATCTTTGGGGAAATAAGAGAAATCAGCATGTTTCCAAAACTAACCAGGAATGTTTGGTGCTTAGGTCAGAATTCCTATGAAGACATTCCTTTTTCAGAATATGGGTCTGCAACAATTTCTCCATCTTGGAAGGCAAAACTTCCTGCTGGGATTCTTCTAAACAGTCTCACAGCAGGTCCTGTTTAGCTTTCTTGTAATCCCCAAGATCTTTACTTTTTTGGGAGTGGATGTGATGGTCTGTAGTGCTCCCTAACTGGAAGTAGGTCCTGTGAGAATGACAGCCAGCTGGTCCAGGGTAGAATCTCTCTTAGGTGCCTAAGGTAGAAGCTGAGCAGAGAGCTCCCATCCTTTTGGAGAAGAGCCATAGCAGGATCTTAACAAGGGTTTTCTTGTTTTCCTTAGTAGAGCAAAAGCCATCTGCAATGTAGCCATTAACCCCACACTGAAGTCTGGCACAGACAAAGCAGTGAAAGGTTTCCTGCTTATTTCCATTTGCTGGAATTTGTCAGTCACCATATGGAACCTACAGCATTCTAGTCTATGCAGTGCACACTGTTTTTCTTACCAGTCCTGAAGTTTATATCTGGAGAAGTCCTGGGTAGGAAATCTGAACCATTGAATGTTGAACTTGTTCCATTCGAATTTAGACTCCACCAAGCCTGGGATGGTGATTTGTAGTTTAAATGCCTTGGTGTAGAGCCAGCAGTTGCACCTGACCCACTCCAGTCTGAAATCAGAGAGTGGAATGCACAGGAGTAAAATTCTGGACAGGTGTCACACCTCAAGCTACTAAAGACAGGGAGGAGAAAGGGCTGTGCTTGCTTCCTGTGCCATCCTGGTGCCTGACCTGAAGCTGTGGGTCTCTGTGCAGCACAATGCACAACTCCTGCTGTTAATTTTTACACTAGCTCTGTCGTGCTTGTGCAGGTGGAGCTGGAATTTCAGTCTTCTCTTTGTCCTTTGGGGACCCCAATCTGTATGCTGTCAACCCATCATCATATTGCATAAGCACTTAATAAAAGAGGATAAAGACCTGCTAAAGAACAATTATCCAATGCAATGCAGAAAGGCTACTGAGGGGAACCTTGTTTCTTAATGTAGAATAAATGTGACACCAGGAGCAGGTGAAGATTTATGACTCAAGCTAAACAAAACCCCCTAATGCTTACCAGAATAATTACTCAGATGATATCTTCCCCAGCAGAAGTGTACTCGCCACTGCTTCACTACTTCATCCTTCATTAGGCAGTGAAATACAAAGATAAAGAACCCTAAAGAAATAAGAAGAGAAATTCACAGGTTTTCAGGTGGATTCTCCAACCTGCTGTTGCTTTTCTAAGCTTTTTGTATGCCATTCAGTCATCAGTACATTACGTATGGGCAGAGAAGTGGTCCTTGGACCAGCATCATGGTGGCCCAGAATGGCACCGACTCCTTTGTGCATATGGGAGGGCAATGGGAAGAGCTTTCTGCAGATTTGGTATAAGAATAATCTGCGGGTCACTGTAGATTCTATAAATCATTTTTATGCCCAGATGAAAAGGATTGTGCCAGCTCCTGAAAAGATGCGTTTATTTGGACCCATATTTCAAAGGCATGAATTTTATATAGTCTTTAATAGTATATTTATCACAGCAATGCTATCTGAACAACACTATCATCCCACTGCAATGGAACTCTCCTATTAAAATAGCTAAACACTGTAACACAAAGCTATATGAGCACTCCTCTTCCCTCATGCTTGAATTACATGATACAAATTTATTTCTATTCCACAGCCCTAAACTGTTGTATATATAGCAGTACTCCATTCAGAAATTACCTTGCAAAGTGTTAAAAATGCTGAAGAGGTATAAGAAAAATACCCTCACTGCTCCCCAGGCAAAAAAGGCAACGCCCCAAGTTAAGCCCAAAAGGAACATCAAGCTGAAAGCACTTTTGAGGTCTTGGAGAAATCCCCGTTTCCAGAATATGGATCTCCTTTGTGTCCTTGATTTCACAGAGTGAATTTGAAGGAGAACAGTGATGAACATGGCTGTATTCATCAAAAATATTAAGAAGATGTAGGCCACAACGGAGATGTAAAACACTGTGTTCTCCTGAATCCAGCAGCTGCAAGAAAGGGAGGCATGTGTCCATTAAGGAGTTCTGTAAGTAGTGAAACTCATGAAGCCTGCTGTCCAAAATAAGTGTCCCATATGGTTCTCTGATACCTAGTAAGGGGCATTCCCTAATGCCCATTACTTTCCCCAGTGAGGATATTCACTGAATCTCTCCACTTGCCTTTTTAAATGGATGCTTTAGAAATTAAATAACTTTGAGACTTTACTATTTCTGCCAAATTCAGATAAATCTGGTGTCTCACAGCTTTATAGTGTATACACACAAAGACACATTGCCTTAGGCAAAAAGGGTTAAATATGACTTAATTAGGAGTCTAAATAACAGTTTAGCACAGAGATGAGCACTGGTCGGCTTTTCCTCAGATGTAAATTAGTGAGTTTTACTGCCTTTTTGCCAAAGATGGATAACAATTTTCCCTCTGATGAGGTGTCATGGGTGTGTGTTGCCTCTCTGGTGGGATAGAATTCAAATATTATAGGTAATCTTCACCAACAAGTGGTCAGATGGTGCTATATAGAAAGCAGGTGAAAAAATGCAAACGTTCTTTACTATAAAACCCTTTTTAAAAAGGATGAAAGAATGCACTTTTCCCAGTGGACAAGAGAGGATGCTGAGATGATTTAAATAAAATAATTTGAAATGAAGAGACAGTGATGTGAATTGACATTAAAACCAAAACCAACAACAAAGCAAACATGCAAAATACAAAAGCAATTATTCTGCCTTTAGGTTTTACCAGAAACCTAGAACACGCAGAAACACTGAAACAAGTAACAATGGAGTTGACTGGCAGAAGCCCTCCCTGTCCTCAAGCCCAGTCCACTGATGTGAGGGTTACTCCATGTAGTAGGGATACATGGAATATGATCCCATGAACCAGAACCTCTAAAAGGAAGAGGTTAAAATGGAACAGAAAAAGCAAAAGCAACAGAGAAGTTGTTGCCTTCTGGTTATTTCTTGTATCTTTAATATACTCTGGTGACCACAAAAGTATTATACTTACAAATTGCTGAATGGATTGCTCTCCAAATGAGATCCATTGCCATAGAAGTCTTTATTTATAATGAGCACAACAGTAACTACAATAGCTGGCATTCCTAATATGGAAGGCAAGAGAAAAAGATATAAATTAAAAAGAAAAAATTGGGAATACGGAAAGGTGTCAGATAATCTCTGATGAGTAATTACAGCAGTCATGTACGTCTTGGGATCAAACTCTAGCCCTAGAGCTCCTTGTGAAAGAAGTGTAATTAAATGTGTGGCATAGCAGGTTTAATCTCCTTATTTATGTAAACTACAAATTAGTGGGCATAAAAATATCTGTGTTTGCAAAATGTTTGTGAGTGTTCAAACATCTCCAGAAGGGATCCAATCTGGTAAAATAAAACCAACTGATTATTACAAAAAGCAGAGTGTCAAAAGATAAGCTGACCACAGCATTTTGTGTTAAGATCTGATAGAGAGGGACATTTTCCAGACAGTGTTTCATCAGTTTTCCTTTCCACTTATTTCCCATACTTCTTCCAGTTCTGGCTTTTCTGTTGAGAATGGCTGCCACCAACACCACCATCATGGATGGCTGCCCCTGAGACCAACTATGTGTGACATCAGATCTAAGGACAGAGATGATTCAAATGCCTAAACAACACCCTTTAAAACAGCATCTAATGGTGACCCAAAAAAATAGAGACGAAACTGCTCTGGGTCAGTGCCTCTGATAACACCTTTCCAACAGCTGAGGCAGGATTTTGGGTCCTTTTTGTTACATTTCTCCCAAACAAGTCTCTGATGCTCAGTGCATAAAAGAAAGGCAAATCAGTGAGCTCTTCAGGAGAGCTATGAGTGAAAGCCAAACCCATCCCTTGTGGGGGAATCATCCATAGAATGGCAGGTGAAGACACAAAGCCTGGAGAAGGAGATAACACCACATTTCTACTAGCTCAGTGTCCTAACTTTTGCAAGTATGCCCTAGAGAAGTTAACAAGCACAGAAGCAGAGAAAAAAAATCCAGTTACTCACCCCAGCCAGCCATACAGCATTTTAGGATGTACTTTGGGACATAAACATTGAAAACTTTCACAAGAGCCAAATAAAAGTGAACAGACTCCAGGCACATCCACGTGAAAGCTGCAAGGAGGAAATAGTGAAGGAGAATGGCCACGGTGATACAGAGACCTGGCTGGTTGAACGAGGACAGCCAGGAGTTGGTGAGGAAGGCCACGTTCAGCAGCAGCAGAGCAGCACAAAGATTGAGCAGGATTTTTGAAGGGTTGTCTCTACGCAGCTTTCTAAAAAGAAGGGGAAAGTCCACAAGGTTATCGCTGCGAGGGTTGTGCTGGGAGCATTCACTAATGCAGGGTAGCACAAACGTCTATCTGTCATTTTGTAAATTGGCTTCTTGTGCTATAAGTTGTGTCTACATTAGAGTTTTATACCACATCATTAGTTTTTGAAGTAGATCTCCCAGCCTTCTCTCCCAGAGCTTCTATAGACATGGAGACCTGCTAGGAATTTCAGACTTGGTGGAGGAGAGACAAACTTAACGTCATCTTTTTATTACTACATCAAATAGTATCGTTATTGTAATATGACTGGATTTTGAAAGCACCCACAGCTACCTAAGTCTAGGACCCCATCGTGCCAGGAGTGACTGGCCCGTACAGTATAAAACAAAGCCTATCCAAAGGACAAAACACAAGAAAGAGAAAGGGCAAGGGAAGACAAAACTTTAGCTGCTGATATCATCCAATGTACAGTCTATGAACGGGAAATGTTCCAGATTGCTGATATCATCCAACATATAGTCTATATACAGGGAATATTCCAGAGGCTTGACATAATGTATATCAAGGGTAAATTTATGAAATTACATAAATTTAGGAACACAGAAGCTGCTGAACAGTTCTGACTAGTGTTTTTGTTGAAGCGTATTTGAATCCCTCTTACTTCACCACAGTCACAGGTCAAAATAAAGCAATATTTATACTGTCAGCTCTCAGTCTTCTCTCCTATGCATCAACCACAGCATCAACTATTAGCAAACGTTCTGATAGCTCCTGCAAATTCATTATTGCTAAAATATTAAAATCAACATAAGGAAAAGGATCAGACTTACTCAAGAGCTAGATATGTCGCCAGTGTTATACCCAAAAAAAGGGAAGAAGCACCACATCCTGCATAGCTTATCAGAGTTAATATATGATCATGCGTGATATCTATCTCTGTCCGGGACAAGTCCTAAGGTACAAGATAAAGAGTCACAGTTGTTTGCCATAACAGATAAAGAAAATTGCCTTCCACATTTTCACATTGATAAAGAAAGGATTTGTGTTCTGCTTACAGCTGCTTTTGGAAGGTTTCCATTAATATTTTATGTGTTTCTTATTGTACAGTCCTACAGAATATCCAAACTAGTAAAAATACACAGTATTTAAAGTATCCCATAAAAAGTTAAGCTAGAAAAGCTGCACCTCAGAAATCACAAATACAAGGATTCCAGGATCTTGCCAAAATTTTTCTATTGGGAGCTCATTTTGTAGGAGAAACTCTGCTTTGTTTCAATGGCAGCTGCTATGCTTGGGAACTGGACAAACCTGCTAAATGTCCTGGAGCAAGGGAGGACCCTCCACACCCAGAAAGCATCCCTCTGCAAAAATCATCTAGGGGGCCAGGCCCTGCTTCTCCACAGCTGCCACCACGAGTGAGAGGATTTTGTTGTTCCCTGTCACAGTTTCTCTTTTATTTGATGTAACTTCCAACGTCAGACTAGTAACCTACATCTCTGAGACACATTGGTGGTGCTGTTACAAACTTGTAACTTGACTACCAAAGTGGCAGGCAGTGGAGAAGAGGCGGGATCTTCTAATCATGCTGAATTCTCTTTGCTTGAATGGAAACTTCAGCAAGTTGTCTGAAATCTGTAACATCTAAATTTCTTCCTGTAGAAGTCACATTTTTACTACCAGGGAGGGTTTTGTGCCTCTCTGGGAGCTGGGTATTGCTGACCTTGAGGGGAAGCTGGGCAAGCACCTGAAGGCAAAGGGATGGCCTTACCCCATCGTGTAGGTTGTACCCTACTGGGTCAGACAACTTTAGCCTACTCTAGCTTTAAGTTTTAAACTACTTTTGCATTTGTTGCAGCTCATTCTCAGGCAGTCATCTCGTATTTTGACATTCAGCTTTTAGAGGCAGTTTTCTCTATATTACATAGAAATAAGAGACAATAAAGACATCTCTTGTGTTTATATCAAAATATCAAACTTCCTTTTTGGATGAAGCATAGATAAAACTTTCAGAAAGATGTAATGTCATTAGTTTCCACTGGCAGATAATAAATTTAACACAGTATTTCCAATGCAGCAAGTAACACATTAATGTTGATTAAGTTACATTGCGAAGGAGTACAAAACACATCTGTAAAATGAATTTCCCTTAAAGCAAGTGACATTTAGAGGACCCTATACTGTAAAACTTAATATAACTGTTTTGTTTGTTATTACTGACTTGGGCAAAGTTGCAAGTACCTAACAAATTGCATAGATATGAATCTTTCATCTCTTCCCAAAACTAGCTATGATTTTGTTTAGTGCCATGGGACTTTTTTGGAGACGATTCACAAAGTACTTACCAGGAGGACTCCAAAATGGGTAAGATGGTTACAAAAACAGATTGTGTAATTCATATCTGTATATTCCATTTCACACCCCGATGTATTCCAACCACCCAGTCCATCTGTGTAATAGAGAAAAAGGGATTTTTAAGCAGAGTTAGTCATGCTCAGCCATTTATAGCTCTGCAGCCTGCAGAATGTGTGAATATGAGCTCAAGTTAGTACAGATTGCAGGGTCATTTAGCATCACACAAGTGAGATTTCACACAGGAACACATCTTATATAGTTGCCTGAGAACCTCAAAACTTGGATGAAAGCCTTTGATGGAATGAAGAAATATTTAAAGTCATTTACATGCTGGCACACAGAGAAAGCAGGAAGGTAAGGAGAAGCGTGCTGGATTAGATTATGCTGCAGGGTGTGGAAACACTCAAGGCAAGAAATATTTACAGGGCAGAAGATTTGTTTAGGCAGAGCATAGCACTGTAAAAGCCAGATCTTCCATGGCAAGATTACATTTATGACCCTGTTTATGTGGCATGTACGACATATACAGAAACCAAGCTCCTGATGTAAAAAAAAAAAATATATATATATATTTTAACACCAACAATTGCAGAGAAAAACCTTTCCCACGTATTCTGAGTTAACCCAATACACACTTCTCTTTCTGTGGCTGTTCATTGTCTGAGCTGTATTCAAGACAACCACAGGAAAGCCCCCACTGACTTCCCTGAAGTAACTGTGAGAAGTCATCTGATGTTTCATTGTATTTCTGCTTTTTTCTTAGACTAAGTCTTCTTATTCCTGTAGATGCACTGTTGTACAATGCTGGACACACATCCCCTAGTAGCAACACTGATCACTGAGGTATCAACATCAATAGAAACCAGCAACACAGACTCAACAGGACAGCCTCCAAGCTTCAACCTGCCATGTCAGGGAGCCAAAGGCTCTATGAAACTGGTGAGAGAGCAAGCGTGGCAGCTCTGTAAATAACACTTACTGTTCTTCTCAAAGTCCCAAAAGACGCAGTGCACTGCTGCATTACCCTGAAAGCAGAGGAACAGGAGACTGTGACATTTATTTCATATGTCTGCACACCACCTGCACTTGCAGACAGTGCATCTTGCCTGCAATCAGGGTTTCTCACTAAGGCAGTTTGATTTGATTTCCTCTGTACTGAAAGCCCACTGATCTCTGAGATTACATGCATGGTGATGCTGCAGAGGGACCACAGGTCACTGGAGATGCCAGCAGTCAAGGGGCAGCTGGACACTTGGGAGCCAGCTGGGATATCAACCACCTCATCTGTGGTTTCCCAAGTTTTACCAGTCTTTCTGTCTCTTGTATTGTCTTTTAAGGACAGCAGAAAATCTGACAAGTTGTCCTGCTTAGACTGATTCCTTTGTCTGATCTCATTAGCTTCATGTGGTATCTGAGATGTCGTACTGAATTACTGGTGAAATTCAAGAGTTATGACTAAGACCTGGAATAACAACCTGAGATGTTATTAAAAAAAAAAAAATTTCCCCCACAAAACCAATTCTCAACAAAAGAAAACCTTTATTTTAGAATTTCAGCATTTCCACTCCCTCTGAAACCAGGCAGGGAAGACACCTAAGAGAAAAATAAAGCTTGCCTGCGTTTTGCAAACAGCTGAACAGATTTAAATGGGTATTCAATGCAATGTTTTCCCTTGGGGACATTCTAGTTTATTCCTCATAATTCTGCAGCAAACTTTCCCAAGGCAGATTCATTTTCTTTTACTATTAATAAAGTTTAATAAAGCACAGCATTTACAGGAAGCCACCCTAACAGATAAGCTGTTATGACGTGTGATCTGTAGACTGTCAAATATCATTAGGCAGAGAGCCAAAGATGTAGGTTAGGATGATAACTCATTAAATATTTAATTAGGATATTTTTAAAAGGTCGAGGAAAAAAATATGAGAGGTGCCAGATGGCCTGGTGGAGTAAAAATGATGGAAGAGAGGGAATATCTAGATGAAATTTCTGGGTATCTATTATTTGCTAGAACTGAAGGGAAAGTGCATGTTG